TCTCATAGGGCCTTTCTGTGGATCCACCTTCATGTTCCTGTAGCCTCCAGAGTTGTAGAAGATTGGGAGGCCCTAATCCATACCAGGCATACTCTCAGGAGGTCCCTAGAGCCTCCAGAGCTGGCAGCATGGCTGTGGGTATGATGGGGGAGGTTGGGAGAGAGACTAGGAAAGGGCTGGTCAGGGAGCTCGGATAAGGCAAGAGGAATCACCCCAGGAAGGAACATCTATGTGGCCATGCAGCAACCTTAGGGAGAAACGTGGATTTGGAGGGGGTGGGCAGTGCCAGAGAGTAGATTTCACGTGGAGATGGCTTCCCAGGTCAAGGGAATTGGCCTTGGGAACAGGTGTGTGTGTGCATCTGTGTGTGTGTGTGTGTGTAAAAGAGAGAGAAAGCAGGCAAAAGAAGATTTGGTTTTTGATTAGGACTCTAACTGAGCTCTTTGAGGACAGGGACTATGTCTTGATCACTGTTGTTTTTCCAAGAGCCTAACACTGTACCTGACACATAGTAGGTACTGTCCGGCGAATGGATGGATAGATGAGGCCAGTTCTTACATTGGAGCTGGGGGTATGTTGGCTCTTCTTTCCCATAGCTGCACTCAGCCCTTTTATTCTGTCTCAGCACTTGCTGGAAGGAAGTGTCTAGACCATCCAGGGACAGTTCTTGGATGGGCACTCCTCCAACTGCAAACATTTTAAGGACCTTGGCAGAATGCAGCGCTGCAGTTGGAACGGCGCCACCTTGTGGTGCCTCTTGGAGGAGCTCCTGAAGAGACTCGGGCAAAGAAAGCGGGGTTCTTCCCTATGCTGGGGGCTGGGAACACCAGGCCGCAGCCCCCTCTCCTCCTGTATATCTGAGGCTGCGTTGCTGTACCAGTGTTCCTGTTACGCAGTTTTACCATTTGTTCCCACCTTCTGCTAGCATTTGCCGAGCGCCTGCTCCGGGCCAAGCTTGTAGGGGATACAGAGCTAAACCAAAGGCGCTTCCTTGAGTAGCTCATGGTCCAGCAGGGGGTTCCACAGCCTAACAAGACCAACAAAGGTCATAATCAGTCAGTAGAGAAAACAATGATATAGGTGTTGAGGAGGCAATGGGGACATTAGCAGCTCAAAAACTTTCTGCCCCTCCCCTCTTCCTCAATTCCTTTCACTAAATCTCCAACTTTTATCCTTGCTTTCCAGAGGCGCTTCATGATTTGGCTCACACACTTCATTCTAGGATCCCGCACCTCTGCATTCCCCAGGGCCTCTGTTCCCTGTGAAGGCTTTGTGCTTTCCCACCTCTCTACCTTTGCCCACACCCTGGAATGCACATCTTCCCCATCTCCCCCTATTGAAACCCATCTGGAATGTCCCTCCCTCCATTAAGCTCTTCTAATTTCCCTTGGCAAAATGGCCTTGCCTCCTGAAGCAGCTTCTTGGCAGGGCTTTGGTTAACAGCACATACTGGCTGTCCCGTGGAAGGTTATCTGTGTAAGTTACTTATCCTCTTACTAGGCTTCTACCTTCCTGAGGACATGGGCTCTGTGTTTTGTTCATCTTGGCATTCCTTGCGGCACTGAGCTAGGCACATCATATGTCATCATTAAGAGAAGAAAGAGATGGGGCGCCTGGGTGGCTCAGTTGGTTAAGCGACTGCCTTCGGCTCAGGTCATGATCCCGGAGTCCTGGGATCGAGTCCCACATCGGGCTCCCTGCTCAGCAGGGAGTCTGCTTCTCCCCCTGACCCTCCTCACTCTCATGCTCTCTCTATCTCATTCTCTCTCTCAAATAAATAAATAAAATCTTTAAAAAAGAGAGAGAGAGAAGAAAGAGATGGATGGGTGGATGAATAAGTGGATGAACGAATGGATGGATAAATGGATGGATGGATGGATGACAGAGGGGTTGGTAGATGGATGGATAAATGGATAGGTGGGATATATAGATGGGCGGATGCATGCATGGATGAACAAAAGGATGGAGGCATGCATGGATGGATAGACGGATGGATGAAGCAATTCTTCTTTAAAAGGACTCATCAAAAGCTATGTAGTGTCAGGGGCTTCAAGGGAGAAAGCCCACTCCTTGCCAAGCAAGGCATACAGGCAAGGGGACAATATCCAGACTGAGCCTTCCTTCATGACAAGTGCACCCTCAGTGACTCACCTCCTACTCCCCAAAAGTAACTCACATTTGGGGGACTGCTCCTTCTTACATTCTTGCCTAGATCCTCAGGAATGCCTTCATTAACATATATTATGTTTCACAGCCTGCACTGACCGTAATGATTTTGTGGGTTTCCTCTCCCATATCCCTTCCCCTGTCTCACACACACCCTGGATTGGACGCTCCCTGAAAATAGAAGCCCTGTCTGAGTCTCTTGTGTGTCCCTGGAGCCTGGCATACAAGTTTAATGAAGGAGTGACCAGATGAGTAACTGAGGGAATGCTCACCCTTCTCTACAGACACACTTGGCCCACTCCCTGCGTATTCATGTCTAGCCGTCTCTCCTGGTCCTCTCCTCCTCACACCCCATATACACACTCCTCACCCCGAATCCCCTAAAGTCCCAGACTTACGGCCTGGTTCTCTGTTGCCCATTTGTGGCTGATCTAGGGAAGTCCCAGGGCTCTCATGAGAGTCCGAAAGGAGAGGGGGCCCTTAGGCCCTCTGAAGCCATATTAACCCGGCCCCATTTGGGACAGAGAAGGGCTTCCCTGGGAAGAACCGGGCTGTTGGGAGGGTAGTGGCCTGTGCTAACCTGAGAGATGCTACCCCATCCTGACCACGCCCTCCCGCGTCTGCTCTCCCTACACCTGACCCGGGAGGCTGTCCCAGGGTTGGGGGTGGTTGTGGCCTCCGTCTCGAGGCTGGCCAGCTGGCAGACACAGCCAGATTTAGAAGTCATTTTCGCAGCAGGGAGCCTCCAGCCTCCCACCCACAGTGCCATGCAGGGCCAGTCTGAGATATGGCTCACCAAGGGCTGGCCCCCAGACCTGCAGTCACCCCTCCCCTTCTCTCTGTCCCTTTCTCCCCAGATCTTTAGCAGCCAGTGCTGACTCCACCCTTAGGCAAAGACGAAGGAAGTCCTGGGGAAGCAGGGTGTGTTGCCTGGCACCCTAACTGCCCAAATCCTCCCTGTACATCCTCCACCCATTCAAGGGACTGTGTCTCCACCCCGGGGCTCCCTTCTCTTCTTGACCTGGCCTCAGCTGCCTGTTGTTCTTCTTCCCCAACCTCTACTTCTTTCCCCCAGCCTCCTGTTCTTATGCCCCCAATACTAATGAAATAGCTCTAGAGAGAAATAATAATCAGAGCTTAACACTTGTGTATCCTTTATTATGTACCAGGCATTGTTCTAAGTGCTTTTCATATTGAATCATTTAATCCTCCCAACAAGCCTAGGAAAAAAGCACTATTCATAACCCCATCTTATAACTAAGGACACTAAGACACAGAGAGATTGAGTAATTTGCCCAAGGTCACACAGCTAGTGTGAGGTAGAGGCAAGATCTAAACCCATGCTGCCAGGCCCCAGAGTCCATGCTCTAAACACAACACTACCCTATTTTTCCGATAATGGTAGTAGTGTGGGTGAACTCTTAGAAACTGACCTCCTGAGTGTTCCACCTCACAGAGTCTTTGGCTGTATGATGGGGTCTCCCTCCACAGGACCGGCCCCCCCACTATCCATACAGCTCACCTCTTCTTCCAGCCTGAGAGCCTGGAGGCCCCGGGCTGTAGCAAAATCCAGGCAGATGCTCTCAACACTGCCCTGGCCTTCCTCGGTCTTCCTCCTGGCCTCAAGTCCGTTCCCTTCTCAAGCCCAGAGGTCCAAGGCACACACTCCCGAGGGGGCCAGGCTCACCCCAGCCTGTCCTCAGTTTCCACTCCTGAGAATGTACCCTCAACTCCAGTCTAACCAGACCGTTTGGTAATTTCCAACACATACTCGGCTTCCCCCAATCCATACGACTATTTTTGCTCTTTCCTCTACTTGGAACTCCTTTCCCCAAATTCTATCTCAGATGCCACCTCCTTCAGGGAGCCTTTCCTGATCTCACAAAATCCATACAATCTCCCTTGTTTGACTCCTTATAATACTTACCACTCGCTGCTCACTACTATCATTATTGGTGAGTGTTCATCTTCACCCCATTGCAGGCAGGCCTTACTCATCTCTTTCCTGGAGCCCAGCTCAGGGCCTGCTTCCTCTCAGGTGCTCAGTAAATGCTCAGTAGTTAGGATTGGCAGTAGTTAGACTTGCAGGTGGAAGGTAGGCAGACCTCAGGAAACTTTGATCTCTGCCCAAGGTGAACCTCACTTCCTTTACTTCCTCCAGCAAGAGCTAACTTGAAACCTGACGTTGTGGGTCCCAGGCAGGTTCTGGGTTGGACTCTCCAGGGTAATTTTGATCAATGCTCTCCCCTCAGGTTAAGAAGCCCAAAGGGACACCCCCACCACACACACACACTGAACCAAGGTCAGCCTGCCCCAGTGCAGGGTCCAGCCCATCGACCTCCCAAACTGTCCTGCTCTCTCCTATCCGTCCTGACATGTCTGATCTCTCCGGGTGAGGGTAGGGAGTGACATCAAGATAACTGAAGACCAAAATCATAAGTGGCTTGAGAACGGGGCTGGGGCTCTGAGCGCTGAGCGGGAGTTGGAGTGACTCGGTAGGGATGGGGGCAGAGGCGGGCCGGCCAGGACTTCGCGACTGAGTCTGGGCGAAGCCCCCGCGCCCGCCGTGTCGGCGGCTAAATTTACCCAGGCTGACTCAGCCCTTGCCCGGAATGGGGGGTGGGGGGAGTGCGCCAGGGCAGTGGGAAGAGTCAGCGGGGGTGGGGCGGGGGGCAAGGGAGGAAAAGTCCGACTGGGGGTGACAGGGGTGAGCCAGGAGTTTCCATCAAAGAAAGGAGTCCCCCCAGCCCCCCACCGAGGGGGGAGAAACAGTGGAGCCCTGGGGGGAGGGACACGGGAGGGACTGGGCCGGTGAAAGGAAAAAGATGCCAAGATTGGACAAAGGGAAGCTTAGATTTATTGAGCGCCTACTGTGTGCCAGGCACTGTGCAAGGCGCTTTACATACATTATCGCATAAAATCCTCACAACAACCCTGCGAGGTAGGTGTTTATAAACCCCCATTTGACAGATGAGGAAACTGAGGCTCAGGGAGGTGAAGTGATTTGGCCAAATTCACATGGCTAGTAAGTAGAGACAGAACTGTCCAAGATCAGAGAGAAAAAAAGACTTCAGTGTCTGGGTCCCAAGCCGGTTGGCATGGGTGAGTAACAAAGAGGGGCTCCGCGCACTTCCAGAGGTCTGGAAGGCCAGAGGCCTGTCCCCGACCTCGCACGGCTGGAGGTGGCAAGACGGGGGACCCGCGCGCTGTAACTGGGTATCAACTGGTTAACTAGCAGTGCCCGGGTAGGGGGGACTCGGGAATTAGCTACCGGGGAAATCCGCGACCTGCGCGCGCCCCGTAGTGGCTACAGCGAGTATCACACCCCACACGTACAGGCTTTTTGGGACCAACCTCCCCCTTCCTTCCCTGGCCAAGGTTTCTGGAAGAGGCAGAGATGCAAGAAATTTTCAGGGTTCTTTCAGATGAGTGATGCCACCGGGGTGGGAAATCGTTGTAACGATTCAGAGCATCACTAAGGAACACTGGGGAGGAGGAGAAGGGGGGAGGCCTAAGGAGGTCCCAAGCTGATTCACTGGCTGCCTTCCCTCCCCAGCTCGGACCACCACAGGCCAGGGACAGTGACAAGGCCACCATCCTGCTCTGCCTTGAGGAGCCCTCACCCAAACCTAAGAGACTGGGATAGAAGCCCGTACCCATTTGCTCAGATCTTCTGCAAACCCTGGATAGTCTCTTGAATATGGAGAATGAGTGCAGGTGACAATGAAGCCATCTGAGGGACCCTCAGACTCTGTTCATTTATTCCCAATTCTCTTTCTTGGCCTGTGGAGGAGAGGGTGAGATAAAAGCCGCCCCCAAGGATCCAAAGCATCAGGGATGAACTTATCCCAAGGCGTGTGACACCAAAGTGAGCCCTCTTCCTGTTTTGCTGGTTGTATCTGGATCCCTTCCTCTTCTGCCAAGGGCCTCTATGTCACCTGGTCACCTCAGTCAGAAGCCTCTCCATCACTTTCTCCCTCCAAGCCCCAAGATCCTGCCCTAAAGTTGCCCTATGACTATAACATCCCTGCCTTCCCGCCTGATCCTGGCTAGGCCACCTACTCTGCTCCACACCTAGTGCATCTGCCCCTGCTGAAGACCTTCCGCCAGTGCCCTGAATGGAGCAGGCATTAAAGTCTACTGCTCATCCTCACCTGTCATGAGAAAGAAAAGAAAGAAAGAAAGAAAGAAAGAAGAAAGAAAGAAAGAAAGAAAGAAAGAAAGAAAGAAAGAAAGAAGAAAAGGAAAGAAAGAAATCACGAATTGGCATATGTTCCCTTTCCTTTCATTTGGGTGGCTTCTATTTCAAGTATGGGAACGACTCTGGGTAAGGGGGTACAAGGAAGTCTGTGAGGAAGAAAGAGGACCAGTGGGCCCAGGGATGGAAAAGTGGGGAACACAAATACAAGAAAGGGCCTGTCACTGCCGCTCCCTATTTCCCTGTGGGATCCCCTTAGTGTCCCTCGTCCCGAAGAGGGCCTCCTCCGTTCGGCTGATGACATCTAGAATCTCTCGGATACTGTCGCTCAGCTCGGCTGTCTTCCCGTCTTCCCCGGGCCGGGGCGGCTCATTTCGCCAGGAGGCGCCCGAGGCTTCTGTGTCGCTTCCATCAGAAGAGCCGCTGTGGACGTTGAGCTCCGCAGCTTCGTCCGAGTCCGAGTCTGGGGCGGTGTGACGGCGGATGCGGGATACGGCTTCCCGCAGGGCCCCGGCGTAGGGCCCTGGGGTCCGCGCCCAGCCCCGGGCCGCGCGCCGTGGGACCGCCGCCACTTGCTGCGAGCCCTCGGCACTGACCGTGCCTCCTGAAGCCGCTGGGCCTGAGGCTGAGCGCTCTGGGCTACCTGGCGGCGTGGGGGCGTCCTGAAGGTTTACTTCGCCAACCGGGAGCCCAAGGATGCGGGAGGCGCGCTCCTCCAAGGAGGAGTCCGCGGGCTTCCCGCCCTCGGCTTCGAACCCGCGCCCCCCAACGAACTGGTGTGAAAGGCGACTGCTCAAGAGCAGTTTTTGCCAAGGGTGGGGAAAGGCCGCGGCTCCCTCGCCCTCCTCCTTGTTGGGCTTCGGTTGATTAGGGGCATCCCCCACGACGCGCGGCACCCCATCGGGCAAAAGCTGTACATGCTGGGTTCGAGGGGTTGGAACATACTGTGACCGTATCACCACGCACGTGGCGTCAATGACAAAGACGCCTTCTCCCCGAGCACGGCCGCGGGAACAGCGGGGCAGGGTGTGGGCGCGGCGGGTCCCCTTCCAACCCTCCAAGGTCTCAGGTCCGGCCCCCTCTCTATGACCTAAGGACTCTCTCCGCCCCGTGCCTCCTGGAGCCCAGGGTCTGGGGAGGGTCTGGCTATGTCGGGGCGGCTGCTTTTTAAGGGAGGGAATCCAGCATTTGGGGAGCCAGCCCCGTTCCCTATTTTCTTTCCCTTCCCCGGAGCCCTTGAAATGGGGCCTGGACCTGGGGGCGGGACGCGGGGGGCTGGGAGTCGCAGTGGCCAACCCCCCGGGAGCTGTCTCCGTGCCTGGGCTCCCAGCAGCTTTGGCTCGGGGATGGCCGTCGCTTCCACTATTCAGGCCAGCAGTGGCCAGCCCCAGGCTTTTCTCCGCGGCCCCCTTGCCGGACTCCAGCCTCGGCCCGGCTGTTCCACAGCCTGGGGATCCCCCCAAGAGACCCCGCCCCTGTCGGAGACCCCAAGCCCCGAGGACGTCCCGGTAGATCCGAGGATCCAGCCTCTTCTTTGTGCACCCTCCCTCTGTCCTGGCCGGAGTCGGAGCAGAGGCTGCTGAGGCTGGCGCCTGAGAGGGCTCGGGGCCTCGCTTAGACCCCAAGGTCCTGTGGGGGCCTTCGTAAGAAGGTGGAGCCACGTAGGGTGGCGGGCGGTCCCAGCGTCGTCGCAGGGCTGTCCCGGCTGCGCTTCTCAGCAGCAGGTGAGCCTCGTAGCTGGGGGGCCCTGGCCGCCTACCTCCCCAGGGCCCCGCCCACGCCGCCCCTGGGTCGCTCTGCGGCTGCGCGGATGGACGGGGCGGTCGCCCCGCCGGCCCCAGGCGCTCGGGTCGTGAGGGAGCTGGGGGCCCTACAGGCTGGGCCACCCGAGGGGCGTTTCGAGGTTCCGGGAGGGGCCGACCGGGGGGGCTCCTTCGGGCCCCACCAGCCTTGCGCCTTTTTCGCTCGGTCTCCTTGGCCTCCCGCTCCTGCGATGCCGCTTTCCTTTTCTCTTGCTCCCGGGCTCGGGCCTCGGCCGGGGGCCCCGCCCGCCAGTTGGTCGCCTCCTGCAGCACCCTGGAGGCCCAGGGACGGCGGGGCGGCGGCTCAGGGGATCCCGGGCGCGGCCCACACCTGGGACAATGAGCAGGAACCCAGGTGAGCAGTTTGTGGGGGAAGGGAGCCGAGGTCCGGGGAGCTGGGAGCACTGGAGACCATTTGGGGCAGCCGTGTGGAGGGGTGTGTGTGAGTGTGTGCCCGTGTGCACGTGCGTATATGTTAGGGCTGAAGTCGAAGCCGGACTCCTCACCATCTCTCCATGCACACTTTAACAGCATCTGCCCCATCTCACCTCCTGCCCTTTCTCACACCCACTCTTGCCCCCCAAAACAATGCGGGAAGAGTCAGGCCCCAGCCCTCGGGATGCGGTAGGGGGAGGCGTGGGAAAGAGAAAGGGGGCCAGCAGCACTGGCTGGTGCCTGCGGGGAGGTCCGGACCCCACTCCCCGCCCCACCGCTCTCTTCCCGTCACTCGTCACCCCTCCTTCACTCACGTGCGGCTCTGGGGCCCACGGGCCCAGTGGCTGGCTTGGAAGTCCATGGGCTGTCGAGGAGGGGCGCGGCGACTATAATGACAGGAAATAGTCTTCACTTCGATCACCAGCAGCTTGGATTTCTGCACCCAGAGGCAGCTGCCAGACTCCTCATCCTGGGGCTCCCGGGGGCTGTCGGGCCCCTCGGAGAATAGCTGGCCATCCAGCATCCTGCCCCACCCCACCCC